ATATTTTCTGAGAGTTTYAATAAAATTTGTTAAGTGTTTCATGTTATGTTTTGCTAACAGACCAATAGGGTTGACTCCAACAGTGAAATTTTAAGTAAAGATGTCTTATAATGTGTAGCACTTGAAGTATATGTTGTGTATGACTTATTCAAACACCAAATCTGTAAAATTGGCCATTTTTGTGTTTTCTAAAGTCAGATGAACTGTGTAGACTTCAAGAATTTTTTTGAGTACAAGCACATTCAGTAATTATTTCCTGAAAGTTTCATTACAATCAGTGCAATGATTCTTTACATATTTTGTCAGGATTCCAAATTGTTTACCGGAAAAAATTGTAACGTTTCCACTTAAAATATGCATTGAGGCTTAATCTCAGCTACTACCATCTAACATCTTGTTAATATCTGTAAAATGTATTGAGTTACAGTCATTTGTTGATTTTTTTTTTACCTGTTGCAGCCATTTTGAATAGGTAAAATAGCCATAGAAACATGTCCAGTGATTACTTTCTTAAAGTTTTATGAAAATCCATCATGACACATTTTGCTAATACTAGGCAAACAAACACAAACATGCACACATGGCTTTTTGAATTGAAACAAGACTAAACAAGTAACTAAATAGAACCCATATATAATCTATTCATGTTAGTTTTCATTTCATTTGTGAAAAATAGAATAAGCAGTTACGTTAGGGATTAATCTCTGTTTATTTGATGTCTGCTATTCCAATAGACATTTTTTATGATTACCCTACGACAAAAGTCAAAACAAGCAAAAAAAATATTTTCATCACGTTTGATTCAAAGCTTAAAATCACACACTAGTTTCATCTTAAGATATCATTTAAAAAAAGGGGCAAAAAGTTGCTTAGTGGCAGGAGACGTCATCCCGCACCGAGAACGCCTTCAGGAGTCAGAGCCGAGTCAAATCTGCCACCCACAGTTTCACACAAGATTAATTATGATAATGCATTTCTTTACCCCTTTGTCACCATAATGAATGGTTGCCTTTCTGGGCCAAAACACACAGAACACAGAAAGAGACAGAGAAGCGCACTTTTCTTTAAGTCTTTGTTTGTGTGGCTGTATTTGAGGTATTGTCAGATGCAACTAGCAGGTGGCAATGCAAACTCAGACCTGCGGATTTAAAAAAAAAAAAAGCAAAGGACCTCACAAGCAAAAAAAAAATGTGCATATACATGTCTGGGAGCAAACACAGCTGAGGTGTGCTTTTGAGATTTGAAAGTAAAACAGAATACAAACTCCAACTTGTCAATTTGAGCCATCATTTTCAAATATTACATATAGAGGTTTCCTTTTGCATGAAAATTAGATATTTCAATTTCACAAAAACTAAATTTCAGACTTATTACAAATAACCGTARAGCAAAATGAAACAATAAGCTAGATTTTAATGGGATGAAACTGCAATAAAAAATAACAAAATATACATAAAGCATTAACTGTATAATGGAAAAGTGCTAATTTTGACAGATTTGACATATTCGCTGTTGCAGTCCAACTGTTAAGTGAGATAAAAATGGCTGTCAAACAGGTACATTTTTGTGTTTTACTCCARTTTGACTTCAAAAGGCTCAATCGAGCAACGACTCAGTGTTAAGTTAATTAGCAAAGAGGGACACAAGSAGCTGAAGTTTGTGAAAAGACTGTGTGTGTTCAGACATTCATGTTTGGTGTGTTTGTGTGAGTTTAGTGATGCTGATRGTTGGAGGTGGGGACACGCTCACATCTTGAAAGGTAGTGTGTGTGGAGAGAAATAAAAAAAAAGGGAGGGAGGAAATTCATTTGTGGCCGAAGAACACAGAAGACAAATTGAGGAAGTGTTGTGCTAATGTGTAGGGGTCAGCAGCAAACACACACAAGTTTCTGACTGACTACCACTTGGGTGGCCTGCTTTGCTCCGTGTGTGAGTGTCTCCTGCTCAACCCACAATCAGCCCTGAAGCAATGAAGCCACCCATCCACTCCGTCAAACCCCCCACCCAGAACTCAGACCCCACCCTACACCTCTCGGTTGCATCTGTGTACATCTGTGTGTCGCGCGTTTCGTCTCTTTCATCCATCCAGTCCGTCCACCTCACACTCTGGTTCTTTATTCCATACTTTCACACTTGGGGGAAATGTCAGGAGTGATACTTCCTCCTCAACATAATGGAGCCCAGGAGTTGTTTTTTCTCTCGCGTTATCACTTAATTCATCTTGTAAAACCCATTTAATTCCACACGGACTGAGAATCTCATATACGCCTTCTCCAGAACTTGGCGGAGCCCTAACCATTTTTCTGTGTTTTCTATGTGCTTTTTAAGCTACCAATCGACCTGTATGATTTAAGGCACAAGTGAGAGMTGAGAAACTGCCAGTTTAACATAAAGAAATGTCACATTTAACCTGAGCACCATCAACCACGGACATTCTTTTGAAACTTCTCTGCTCAGCTTACAACCATTTTCCAGAAATCTGTCAGTCTTCATATATTCACATCATTTATGATTTCATTGTGCAAACACCCACAACAAGTGCATTCTTTGTTATAAATAATGCTTTCAGCACAAATTACATTCTAAGTTTATGTTTTGGTACACCAGACAAACAGCTGCAAAAGCTCCAAAGAACAATTTGTGATCCAATTTTTTTTCCCGCACATCACAACTCTTCTCACTGCTGCTTTTGTTTGGGACGCATAATTAAAAAAAAAAATCACAATTACAACAAAGATGCAGAAACAAAGACCACCAGATTCACAGGGGTAAGATCTGAAGTCTGAGTCTCCATTGTCAAACAAGCACATTTGTGTAGGAACCGCAGACAGGGATGCTAGAGACGGTGTTTTTGCACCATTAAAATGATCATTCGAACAGGTGAGCCTGCACACACACACACACATACATACATACAAGGGAGCGGACACGTGTATGCGCTTAAAGACAGGTTCAGGTATGGGTGGGGTTGCACTGAAGGAACTCGGTGGTCTTTGTACAAATATACAAACTTCTGCCTAAACACAAGCAGCTGCTAGATATCACAGTGTGGTTGACAGGGGTCAGAGTTCATTTTTTGCTAAAAAAGATCAACACACTTGAGTAAAAGAGCACAAAGTGAACCTTAACTGCTAATTTTATGACTTCACAGCTACAGGTAAGAAATGTGGGGTTTTTTTTTTCTCTCTGACATGTTCAGACTTTGTTAGCATGTCAGTAASAGGCTATGTTACAAAACCTGAAAGAAATCCATGGACAAAAACAAATCACCTGATGATTATCTTATATTAGGACATGGTTTGGTAGGAACGACTGCCATCATTTTGGTCAAAAGTTGAAGAGAACGCTATACAAAATCTCATGAGATGTCACACTCAGGGCCATTTTTGCGAATGACTATCAGCTACTACCACACCAAATMTTAGCTCAAYMTCTGTAAAATTGACTGTTATTGGCATTTTTGTGTTAAGTAATGTTGATTAGTTGTGGAGGCCAACACAATCTGGATCTTTCACTAGTTACTTCCTTGGGATTTCATTTAAACCCATCAGTATGATGTTATCAGKATCATATGGTTACTTTTTGCTAGTTTCTGTAATATTTGTTGAGTGGTTCAAGGAACATTTTGGTATCASACACATGAACACATTATCATTCACCTTCACTTTTTGTTAGCACGTGCTAACAAGAACACTTGAATACCGTCACATTTAYTTGCAGAAATGCTTCATGTGAATGAAGTGGGTAAGGTGAGAGAAACTAAACATATAGCACTGATATCAACAATAGCTCATTTCAAACCTGTATTTAAATATAAAATTGAAGAGCCAACTGTGTAAAAAGGATTCTGTGATGGAACCTCAAGGTCAAATTGAGCTTTTCTCACTTTAAAGTTTTTGTATTCAGAACCTAAAAGTCCAAGTGTTCACATCTTCAGTCATTTTATTTCATTTTGTCAATATAAGCTGCACGTATTGTGTATATGTTACTCTCATTTTCTTGACATCAAAAACCTCTTTAAATGTGCCACCTGATGCATTTGGATATTTGCTCTTGAAAAGTATTTAGTCAAATAAAATCCAGAATAAAGGGGATGAAATCAGTATCTTTTTTTATTTTAAAAAAAGTACTTTTGAACTAAAATAAGTACGAAGCAATAAASTGTAATATTTGGCATTAATTAAAAGAAGAGTTTTTTGAAGTCGAGTACAGAAAGATGCATCCACATTCCTCTCATACACATGCATCACATAATCAGGCCACAAGAGACTCTTTAAATGACTCGAGCAAGCCCACAGACACAACAGGAAAAAAAAAAAGAAAAATCACATACACACAATGTATCCCCGCAGACATCCCTGTCAGCATCTGTTTCCTACATGACTAAGAAACTTTAAACCTGTAATTTAAGAAAGAACTCCACCATTGGAATGCAATAAATTTTGTGACAGCAGAGAGAGAAGAAAGTGGACGACGAAAAGAAAAAGAAAGAAAAGCATCAGACGTGAGTCAGTTTCCTCCTCTGCTGCATTTGTGTGTGTGTGTGTGTCAGGGCGGGGTGTCGGTGTTAACTGATACAAGATCAAGCTGGGTGGTCCGGGGCCTACACATACACCATTTTTGTGTACAAATAAACTTAACACCCAGGCCCCCCCCGCCCAATGCCATTGTGACCACTCCTCCTACTGCTTTCTCCCTCCATCTCTAGTCATCACAGCTGCGCAGCGTGCATGTGTAAACACCTACACACACACACACACACACACGCGCGCGCACACGTTCAAAAGTCTATGAGCTCGTGCTCCTCCCCTCTGGAACACTGTAACTGAGTACTGCTATTAGGAGATGGTAATGATCTGATAATAGCTGGTGTGGTGACACGATCGCTAAGATCTGTTCAGCGCCATCAGTCAAAGGGTATTTGGAGAAAAAACTAAACTTAATCTGCAAAAACAGAAACAAAATTAATTAACAATAAAAAAATAAAAACACAAAAATGCATGAGTTAAAGCCGGGTTGTCTTTATTAAAAAGAAAAAAAAACCCATGAGAGTAGAACAGTAAAGCAGCGCCCAGGCTTGTGACGGGTCAGTCAGCTGGGTTATAAGTTGTTATATCAGTTACTGAGGTGATGCTTACTCCTTCAAGAACAAGCTAGATCTCCATCAGCTGATCTGTTCCAACGATGACCTCATTCGTCCGCTCAGCTGTAAAGGAAAGAAACTTTGGTTTAAACTTAAGTAAATAAACTGACAATTCATATTATGAAAACAAAATCAGTTTTTAACATTTAAAACAGGTAATATCATCTCAAAGTCACAAATTTCCAAAGGTACATAAAGTACCTGAAAAAATAACTGTCAAAGTAAAAATACCTTAACAGAAAATGACTGGTAAAAATGGATTTCACTGATAAGAAAGGTACATATGTAAAATGCATAAAACTGAGAAAAATGGGCCTCATGCAAGAACCGTTCTTAAGTTGTGCGTACAACGTGATTTAGGAGAATTTGTGGCATTCACCAGTTTTCGTATTCTAAGATTTTCTTCAGATACGAACAAAATTTACGAGTGGTCCAGACCTGTCGTATCTTTTACGAGCAGTCAGTCTGCTGTTATCAGACGGACTTTCTTCATTAATAACTTTATATTTCATTAGTTTGAAGATATTTCGAGTTGAAAATAAATCACACTCTATAAATCTTTTGACAAGAGGCTATTCTGTTTGAATTAGAATTATAATTTTAAATGTAATAACTAACAACGACATAAACTGGTTAAATTAAAATAAAATGGCTATTAATTTTGTTGTATCGCATCTGACACCTGACGGTCGGGGGGGGGGGGGGTTGCGGTGTGCAAAACTATTTAACACAGTTGTTTACACTGAAATTAAAAATATTTGACCAAAGAAAAACCGGAGCAAGACTAGAGAGAGAGATAAATATGATTTAGATTTTTATTTCTGTGACTGTAYGACCCACGGGAGACACGACATTAACAGCAGTCATTTCATTCCTCGGCTTTAAAAGCAGATCCTTTAATTCCACAGCTGACGCTGCTAAAAATTACTTTTTCTTTTTGTAGATCTCTGAGAGCAGAATTTCAATCTCCAAACTCGTAAAGCTCTTCTTTTTTACTTTGCGATGTCACTTATGAATGGACACTTCCTGGTCTGTGTGGCAGGAAACGTATATCCTTATATGGTGTTTTTWGGGGTGGTAATTATGTAAATCACCTCTCCGCATGCATGAGCACCTGATACACATTCATCAGTTTACGCAGCTCATTTACACACTTTTCCTGAAGACAGAAGAGTTTGTTGAATCAGACGTGGCATGTTCAAAAGTAAGAGATCATGAAAGTAAAACTAAAAGTACTTGTACACACACTCTTAAAAATGAAGTGCTGAATTTATTTAACCAAGTTATGTCAACTGGTCTGAACTCRATTTAGTGGAACCAGTTGACAMAACTTGGYTTAAAAAAATCCAACAACTTCAACAACACAACTCTTTTCATGATGAGTTCCGGWCATATAGAAATTTCGAGGTGTTGAATTTTAAAGCACAAAAGTAAAAGTATACTTTTTATGTTTCAAATCTAACAGTAAAAGTAACAAGTAAAAGTTATGACTTGGCAAAATTACAGATCCTCAAAAACATTACTTAAGTACTGTAACAAAGTAAATGTATTTCGTTACTATACACCTCTACAAATTTCAACGTGTGATGCTTTMTGACTTCATCTGAGTGTGTGTTCAACTGCAACATCACAACCACGAGTTGTGCTAAATCTGTAACTGAAGATGGAAGAGGGTGGTTTGCACATTGACAGGGTTAGGAAACAATTATACAAATCAAACGTCAAACAACAGGCAAGCAACGTTTCAGGATCCTGTAATGAAATGAACTGGAGTTTCTTGATAGCTTCAAAATGATATATCAGGATTTTTCATTAAGCTTCAGTCACATACAAAATCTTCAGAATCACGGAGAATTTACAAAAACACAACTTATTCGGGAAGCAACAAAAAAATCTATATATGGAAACAGGAAGGGGCGGTACTGGTCTGACACCCCATATTAATTTTAAAGGCCCAATTTCTTTTATTTTATTTAGATCCTGATTGTATTAYATTTTAATGTACTTTCATTTGTTTACATTCTTGTTCATTTTCTGTTTGTGTCTGTTAAAAACTGCCATAGAATTTAAGATTTAGCCTTTTTTATTAGCTTTGAAAAAGTTAGTTTTAGAGGTACATTAAATTACTTTTCTGAGAGTTTCATTAAAATCTGTCTACAGGTTTGTAGGATATTTTACTAACACAAACACACAAGCAAAAACATTACTGTCCAGAACTTTGGGCTATAATTTGAATGTGCAGTAAACTTTGATCTTTTGACACAACACACTCCAACGGTTAACCCTTAAAAAATAATTGTTTTGATTTTCAGAGAAAAACAAGCTCAGCTTCCTTAATCAACTCTCCCAACCCAAAGTCAGCCCAGCACAAAGAGCACAACCACAATTTCTCCTCATAACCCTCCATCACCAAGGTACCAGCACTGATCCAAAGTAAACGGTGGCAGCGAGCTAAGTTCCATCCACACAGACCGGTTTTAGTGTGAAGGAATCTGTTGCTCCGAATGAGCTTAGCACTGTTGTGTGAAGAGGAGGACAAATGAAGCATGGGACAGCAGGGGAAGGAAGACGAGATGAGGAGTGAAAAGGGAAGGAAAGAAACGAAGCCAGATGAACTGTCAGAAACCAGTGCTTGTGGCGGCATTGACACCAAATTTCCTCCACGCAGGCAGGCTGTGATACCAGGCTAAGTGTGAAGCTGAAATGTCGAGACAAATGCTGAACTCTAACATCCAGCCAAACGCAGATCGGTGCGATTTTATTGTGAACAGATTGCTCTCAGCATGGACATCTTCAACGCACAGTGGGAAGACCGAAAGAATGAAAAGAGTAGCTTTTCTTTATAGTTACTGTAAAAAATGGACATCAAAGCACGCTGGAAGGAGGTATTCATTTTTTTACACATCAACACCCGATGGACCAATATGAATGCAACGTGTGTGTCTGTTTGTCTCAGGCTGTCAGGGTGGTCTTTGGCTGCGAACAGCCTCAGCAGTGGGGTGGGTGGCTAATGTCTTCAGCAGCCTATGGTCAGCCAGCTACATTGGCAACAAGGAGCAATATTGTGTTTATTCAAACTATTTAATGTGAATACAATATAAGACGATGAGAGAAAGGCTTTCCGTTTAATCTCAGGTTACATATAATAATCAGGAACAGGAAGAGTGAATAACTGCAAACCACAGAACAGTGGATTTTATTTTTACTAAACTTTATAAATGTAATTTTACTTTTATATTGATTTGGTTAATAGAAAAAAAATCAGATTGTTATAATAGAAAGCAACCTGATGATTCTATGGCATCTATTCTTGTGTTCTCTCAATGCTTTCAATTACTGTAATTAAACATTTTATGTCCTTATTTTGTCTTGTGTGTTTCTATACAAACAAAACTTATAGATATTTGCAAAAAATGGACTTTTCACAACCATGTGCATCTTAAAAATGAAACACAATCCTTACTAAAGAGGTTTTTTTTAAGATATATATATATATATTTAATAAAATTATGATCTAAAACAAAAATAGTGCACTCTAAATCCAGTATTTGTATTTACTAAAATTTTGTAGGGACAAAAAATACAAAATAGAAACAAAGATCTACAATCTATTAGATAAATGGAAGCTGGAGTTTTGCACAACTACAGTTTTTGCGCATTAATTGTCAGCTTCTGCTCAAGTTTTTTTAAGCTTAAGATCACATAGCTAATTTTCAATATCAAACAAATAAGAATGTTAATGCAAGATAAGCTTTGTTGCAGACCAATGACACGCCTAGCGCTCGCTCCAAAGAGGTCTCAACTGTTTCATTTTAATACGCTTTTATCTCAAATTCAAACCGTTGTTGCCCGGAGCTCCCTGCTGTTCACTCAATTAGGCTCCTCAGTCCGGTAGCCAAGCTTGCTCCCTATTTCTTACGTTTGAGGATTTGTGTGTGTGTGTGTGTGTGGATGTGGCTGCAGGCTGCTTGCTGTTGAATTCCGGGTGGTCCTGTTCTGGCCCTGCTCTCTAACCTCTCCATCAATGTAACACACATATAGACACAGCCATACACATMCACATACACAACACTAGCTTTAGGGATAAGAAGAACATTGAAAATCGGACAAATTAGACTTTAGATTGAAGAAACTTTTCTTGGTGGCTTTTAATGCTTGGCACCTATAAACAGATACCACACACATAAATTAACACCTTMTTTGAGTCAGCCACAGAGACGAAGTGGAATTAGCAATAAAACAACAAAACTGGGCTCTAATTGGTAGCATTTATCTGGAATATTGTRTTGAACATTTTTCAATCTAAGCTGCTAATTGTTACTTTGTACAGTTTACATTACAATTTTAGAATCATTTTCACATAAAACATAATGCCATATTATGTCAATTTTACTTGGAAATGAGCAGAAACTTGACACTTATTTTCTGTTCAACAGATCATTTTCTTTTTAACTTTATAACCTTTTTATCTTGAAGTGGGTCAACTTCTTGTAAATATTAAAATTATTCTAAACTYACATAAAACAACACACCAACAGTCCTTTATATGATTAATAAATGTGATTTTAATATTTACTAGTATGTAAACTTGAAAACTGGRTAACTATTTGATCTTCATGCCAATTGGACAAATAACATTTGTTAAAAAAGAACGCTGCATATTCAGATTCATAGGAGAGTCACATGTCACCATAAGTGGTGGACAAAACGAGTAGCTGTTTATAACCGTATTTTCCCATTTTAATCAACCTAAATCCTATTTTTCCTGCTATGATATCACATAATAGGAGTTTTATTAAAGTTAGATGTTTAGATTAATCTCACCTTCTGATTCGATTCTTTGTCCATTTCCCACCAAACAGTATTTGAGGTCTGCTCCTCTGCCGATWATTGCATTACTGCAGATCACACTGCCCTGGATGTTACATCTGGAAATGAAAGACAGAAATTCTGTGAATTGGGGTGTTTGTTGAAGTTGTACATATTTGTGGCTACTTGACATTACATTTCTGCCTTAAGAGATAATTTATGCACAGATGGGAKTGAACATCAATAATCTAGCAGAATTGTAGGTATAGAAATAAAAAACAGATTAAAAAACAATATCAACTTTAAAACAAACTTTAAAGGGATCCATGATTAGT